TTCATTTGGAGCAAAGCCATTCCCATTTAAATCTAGACATCACCACATATGCCAAATCACAATCACCACCACCGCTATACTAGCACTACTTGATTTTGTAAACTTAGGGGAGAATCTCCCTCCCTCAATTCGCACTGTTATTTGCAAAATTAGGGGGGGAGATTTTTTTCCCGAATTTAAGGGGAATTTTCCTCTCAAATTCGCAATAACAGGTGGAAAGCCTCTCCCCTTTACAGCAAAATATGGGAGGAGATTTTTCCCAAGGCTGGTGAACTGGGGGGAAAAATCACCGTCCCCTCCCAATTTTTCAAATGAGTAATATTATTTACAGTCGCTCACTATCGTAATCATACTACATGACATAAATGTGAAGGTTAGTAATTTGATATATTAATGTGGTAGTTTTTTGTTGCGTCACATATGCCACATAATGCGACTACGATAATGAGCGACTTAATCTTTGAGAACGTAGGGGCCTCCCCTAAATTTTGTTCCCTAAAAAAGATTCATGCTATTGGCTAGATATTGTAGTTCACAAATATTCTTTTCTTTTCTTATCATTATTAGTTAATTAATATAGACAGGCCCCAAAGGACCAAGACCACAAGCTTCATTAAATCTTATATCGGCACAAATAAAATTAATCACATGGAGATCAAAGTAAAATGTACCCTAATTAACAAGACTTTCATTCACCCAATTTTCATTAATTATTATAACTATATTAAGTATTTTCTCAACCAATAACCTAAGCTAGGCGCTTAGTTTAGAACACCTTTATTATGCTNTTCATTCAACCAATTTTCATTAATTATTATAACTTTATTAAGTATTTTCTCAACCAATAACCTAAGCTAGGCGCTTAGTTTAGAACACCTTTATTATGCTACATCGAGTGCATTACATATAGTTAATCCATGCTGTAAGCATACATATGAGTAACTAACATCACAGCGTTATAACACAGGCGAACCCATTGGAAATGCCACTGAATTTAGTTCACTATTCCAATAATTCTTATTCTCTTCAAAACTTCCATCATAGCTTCCAACAACGTTGTCAGTAACACCGTCCATGTTAGGCAGAAGATCTGTAAAACTCTCGAAACTCGGAACACTTAAAGAATCTGTAATATAACTGGAATTATCAATAGGATCCATTATTCTTCCATTGGTCTTATGAACAAAATTTTCGACATAATTAATCGGTATCATGGATGAATTGTCAAAAAATCCAACGGTGGTAGGAATAGTACTGAACTTGTTCTGTGTTGAGAAGTTCAACGTAGAGGAAAAGCCATTAAAAGTTGTAGTCATATCTTTTGCGGGCTTTGTCCATTCACCTTGCCAAACTTTAAGTATATCTAAACACGGTGGTTGTGGCTGTAGTGGTGGTGCTAGTGATGGTAGAACAGTTGCTTTGTGGCGAAGCTGCAACTGAGAGTGGTAGCAGCTGGAAACAAGTTTGGATTCACGAACGAACCTGGTATGAAGGTAAAATCTCACATCAATTAAATATAAAACAATAATCAACATATAATGGTTTGAGCTACTATTCTCAAAAAGATTGGTATTTTAAGACAAATCCCAAGACTCAATACCTGGCTTCTGCTTGAAGTCGAGCACTCTCCCATTGGGCCATGTGGTTGAGATTGGCGGTGTCTTTGGATTGATTTGTGCATAGGGTCTTCAGCTTGTGAGTCACTGGATCAATTCCCATTTTGGTTAATCTCTTCTTGATACGTGTATTCCAATAGTTCTTTATCTCATTATCAGTTCTCTTTGGCAAGCAAGTAGCTATGATGGACCATCTTGTAAGTAATAATCAAGTTATAAGAAGATTAGTACCCATGAAAACTCGGGACAAAAAGATAATTACTTGATAATGTATAATCATGGTGATGATATATACTAATAATTGGTTATGTGAAGCCAAATTTTTCGATGAAGTAGTACCACGTAGCATCGCAAATACAAAGATCCGTCATCATTTAATTATTAAAACGTTGTTAT